CTAGTGGCAGGAGAGAGGTGGGAGGGTGGGTGGGGACTGGGGAGGAGGTCGGGAGAAGGGCCATGTGACCTGAGCCATGCAGAGCGCTTGGGCTGACTCATGATCCCCACTTCTGTTTAAGTCATTCCCTTGACACACTTGCTGAGTCCCTACTGAGTGTGTGTAGTGACCCTGCCTCTTCAAGACTAATCCCAGCTCACTCTTCAATAGCACTCACTGCGTGCCACGCCTCATTCTAGGAGCCTTATGGGGATAGGACTGTCGATGGCTCGCTCCATTTCACAGATGAGGAAACTAAGGCACAGAGAGGTTAAGACACTAGTCCAAGGTCACACTCCAAGTGGCTGAGGTCGGATATGAACTCTAGGAGTAAGGATTCAAACGACTCTGGATGCCCCAAAGGGAGGCAATACAAAGATGTTGTTGTGCCAGCTCTGGAGCCAACCTGAAACTTGGTATATCATTTATTAGCTGGGCAAAATGCTTAACTGCTCTGGGCCTCAGTTTCCCCATTTGCATAGTGAGGATCACATTGTTACGCACCTCATGAAACAGTTGTCTAGCACATAGTAAGCTTTGGGGAGCAGTACAGAAGGCAGTACAGCCTGGTGGTTATTAAAGTGGGACTCTAGATTCAGATTATCCCCAGTCAGAGCCCCAGCTCTGCGTCTTAGTTGCTCGAGGGATCTTGGGCAGAATGCCTAGTTCTTATTCCCTGGCAGGCTGCCAGGTCAGGGCTTGGAGGTGGGGCCCCTTACCTTTCTGACTTGGAGATTGCCGGCGCTGCCCGGGGTCCGCACAACCAGCAGGGGGCGCAGGTAAGTGTTCCAGAGACGGTGTGGGTCCAGTTGCCCCACCACCCTCCGCAGCCGGGCTTCAGGGAGGCTTCCGATCAACCGGCCCTTGGGAGGGGGGTAAGATAGGGAAGAGAAGTGCAGAGCATGAGAACAACCCCCATACCGACCCTACCCCGGAGGCCACCTCCCCTAAGAACCCCGGTTCTTCCTAATTCGGGCCTCCAGCATCGGAGGTTTCCAGGATAAATCCTAGATAGACTCAGAAAAGGTCCCTCTAAAATCATCCGGTCCCTCTAAATCCATCAGATTGCCCACCCCAATCCTGATGGGGAAATCGAGGCCGAGAGAGGGGAAAGGACTCTTCCAAATGGCTGACTTTCAGATTGGAACCCAGAACTCCCAGTCTTACTACTTCCAGACTCTTCCTCTGAGGGAGAACCACCTATTACAGAACAAGCCCGATAGCAACGGGCATGCGCTCTATTGACGGAGACCGCAGCACCTGCGGCTACCGCCGTACGATACAGACACGTCCACCTGAGACCTCACGGAAGCGCAGGCGGGGTTAAGGGGTACCCGTGTCCCTGCCCAGCCTCACCCGCAGCTCCCGGCCCCGCGGCAGCTCCTCAGTCTGGCGGTGCCAGCCGCTCCAGATGGTGTAGAACGCCGAGGCCACGGCCAGGGACAGCAGAAGCAGAGGCAAGAAGTGCGCCCGCGGTAGCAGGCGGCGCTTGGGCGGTGAGGGTGGCTCCAAGAGGCCACGTTCCCCCAGCCGTAGCCGGGGCCGCCCGCGGCCCCCGGAAGGCATGGCAGCTTCGCCCTGAAACCGGTCCGGGACCGCGGATAGTTTAGGCCCAGCCAAATCCCACCCCATGGAATCACCGGACCAATGAACAAGAAGAGCGACTACACCATCCCACCCTTTCTCTACGGGTGAAGCCAATGCGGACTCTCGTTCTGAGAGCACGCCTTCCTGTCTCCCTAGGGCTTTGGGGGTTGGTCCCCTGAGGGTTGCACAACCCAAAAGGGAGCGCGAAAGGCATAGGCTCCACCTCAGCGGAAGAAGGGAAACCAATGAGAAATGTTTGATCATGGAAAACATTCGACCTAGGCGCAGGTCCACGCCCCTCGTGTATGAAGGCAAAGGATTGGTTACTCGGAGTCGGAAAGCTCAATAGACCCGAAAAGGACCGTCCCTAATGGAAAAGGGGCGGTGTCCATCCCTGAAGCGAGGAGCCGATTGGCTTCGCGGAGGCCGCGCCCCCGTAGGCAGGGCCGGCGGGCATTTGGAATGGCGTGTCCTTTCCCTCCTTCAGCCTGTGCCACTCTACAACGAAGTGATTTGAGTCGGACCCGTTTCTTCTCTCCATTCTCGTGAATATCTGCCCCGTACGGTCCTAAAAGACCTGGAACCACTACGCGAGGCTTCTACTCCACCTCCGCGCAGGCCTGGCGCGGATCGCTATGGCAACAGGCCACGCCCCCACCCCCCCTGGTTGGGAATGCGCAGGCACCAACGGAAGTGGACCAAGGGAAACGGAAGTCCCTTCTGTAGCTCTAGTTTCAGAGGCGGGAGCAACGCGGACGAGACGGCGCTGAACTGAGAGCGCAGCCACTACCACCATGTGAGGCCGGGCTAGGCTTTGGCGGCGGGAGTGGGGTTGAGGGCGTAAATGTGGCCGCTTATCAGTGATGGGCAGAGGCGGGACGGAGGCAGATTTTAGGGGTAAAGTACGCACCTTTCCACCGATGAGATTGAGGGCGGGCGTGGGGCCCTTGATGGATCCTAAATTCGGGAGAGAAGGTAGCTTTGTCAGATAATAGGCTAGGAGCTTTCCCAGAGAATTAATCTTATTGAAATAGATTTTAAGGGGAAGAACCTGCGAAAGGGGAGTGCGGAGTTTTAGAAATAACGGTTTGAGGCATGGGACTTAGCCGGACAACTAGAGCTGGAAACGGTTGGCTTTTCACCTATTTCGTGACTTTTTCGACTAACGAGTCGCCGTAATGATTTCACTAGTTTATTTATTCATTCGTCAATTCTTGAGTGCTCATGTATCAGACACTGCTTTAGACACGTGGGATAGATCTATCAATGAGTAACACTCCCCACCCCGCAAGGGAAAAAAAAAAAACCTGCTGCGGCTTATGGGGTGAGCAGAGGCAGGCAATAAATACACTGATAATAAACATGTAAAGCATATGGCATGTTAGGTGACCAGAGCTGTGAGTAAAGAAACAATAGAGCAGGGTAAAAAGAATGGGGAATGCCAGTTTTGAGAGAGATTAACTTAATAATAAGTGCAGAAGGACACATTGAGAGGGCAACACTTGAGCAAAGACCTGAAGACAGAACCACAGAGATAATCTGGGGAGGTATCCAGGCTGACGGAAAACAAATGGAGAGGCCAAAGGTGAAAGTTTGCCTAATACCTTAAAGGACCACCTAGGAGGCCCCTGGTTGGAACTGGAGGTATGGGGGCAGATGCAGGACATTGTAAAAAAAAAACAAAAAACAGTTGGATTTTACTTTTTACAGAGATGGGAGCCATGGGAGGGTTTTGAAGAGTGCGATGATATAACTTGGGTTTTGATACAACATCCAGGACTACTCTGGAGAACAGACTGTCCGGGAGCATGGGTGGAAGCAGAGAGACAAGTAAGGCTCTGAGGAGCGAGATGGCGGAGGTTTAGGCCATGGTTAGAAATGGTGACATTCTGGATGTATTTTAAAATTTTTTTTTTTTTTTTCAACATTTATTTATTTTTTGGGACAGAGAGAGACAGAGCATGAACGGGGGAGGGGCAGAGAGAGAGGGAGACACAGAATCGGAAACAGGCTCCAGGCTCTGAGCCATCAGCCCAGAGCCTGACGCGGGGCTCGAACTCACGGACCGCGAGATCGTGACCTGGCTGAAGTCGGACGCTCAACCGACTGCGCCACCCAGGCGCCCCTTGGATGTATTTTAGAAGCAGATGGCAGGGTTTGCCGACAGATTGAATGGCGGATGTGAGAGAGAAGAGTCAAGTTGATACCAGAGTTTTTGCTCAAGGAACTAGAAGGATGGAGACAGGGAAGGCTCTGGATAGAGTAAGTGGGGGCGGTTGGGAGATCTGGAGCTCAACCGACGATGCGTAAAGTTGGGAATGTCTATTAAGCATCTGAGCTGTGATGCCAAGCGAGAGGGGCTGAGCAGGAGGGTGGGCGTGTTAGGGGAAGGTTGAGGAGACGCTGAGTGCAAGGCCATGTGACCACCCATGCTCCAGCTCTGGGCCCTCTCACCTACCGCTTCCATACTTGCCCCCTCAGGAGCCTCCTCAACAAGCCCAAGAGTGAGATGACCCCCGAGGAGCTGCAGAAGCGGGAGGAGGAAGAGTTTAACACGGGTCCGCTCTCTGTGCTCACGCAGTCGGTCAAGAACAACACCCAAGTGCTCATCAACTGCCGCAACAACAAGAAGCTCCTGGGCCGCGTGAAGGCCTTCGATAGGTAAGCAAGCGCCTGGCTCTTGGAAGGTGTTCCGTCCAGGCCTGCAGAGGCGGCCCCAGCTCCAGTATGAGGAGCCCAGACACAAGGTTTTCAGAGTCCTGGGGCATAAGCCTCTTCAGACCTCGAGGTGTGCAGTACAGTAGTTAACGGGCATGTACTTGGGAGCCGGTCTTCCTGGGTTCGCTTCCCAGCTCTGCCTCTTAGCAGCCGCGACACCTTCGGCAACTCACTTTCTCTCTTCCGTACAGTGGCAGTAATTCTGGTGGTTGCAAAGATTCCGTGACTTGATACACGTGGCATCTAATCAAGTCATTAGAAGTACAGCATCTGGTGGGGCGCCTGGGTGGCTCAGTCAGTTGAGCCTCTGACTTCAGCTCAGGTCATGATCTCATGGTTCGTGAGTTCGAGCCCCACATCGGGCTCTGTGCTGACAGCTCAGAGCCTGGAGCCTGCTTCTAATACTGTGTTTCCCGCACCCACTTGTGCTCTGTCTCTGTCTCTGTCTCTCTCTCTCAAAAATAAATACACATTTAAAAAAAAATTAAAAGAAGGACAGCATCTGGCACACAGAAAGCTCTTAATCAGTGTTTGCGGCTATAACATGGAATGTCTAACATCAAGTACCCATGCTTGGGACTTTTTTAGGCTCCAGAGACACAGCAGTGACTAAAGCAAAGTACAGGATAGCTCCTGTACTCAGAGAGCTTGTGCTGTAGGTAGGGAAGCCGACGGCAAGCACATGAATAAGGTGTCATGAGAAAAGTAAAGCCAGGTAAGAGTATGGAATGCTGGGAAGGGGGTGCCATCCTAGATGGTGATGTGAGAGGCCCCATAGGAAGAGGCAGTGGTGAACACCCGAATAAAATAAAGGAACAAGCTAGGATCTGAGAGTTTCAGCCAGAGGGAACAGCAAGTGATTTTTTCCTCTCTGAGCCTCAGTTTCTTCTCCAGGAGGTTGAGACCGAGACCAGGAAGTGCCGAGCCCAAGGAGGCAGGTAGACCTGGCCTTGAACACAGGCTCTGCCACTTCTAAAATGTCATCCCACTGTGCGCAGTGTCCTGCTCTGGAAGCCGGAGATGACACTCGTGTTTACCTCCCGGGGGTAACAGTGAGGATTGCTGGGTCAGTGCTCAGAAAGTGCTCAGAAGAGGCCGGGGCGCTTGATAAGCGCTCAGTAGGTGGTGGTTCGTTTCTATGTAGGATATGTATTTTATTGTATGTTTTTTATGTATGATATAGATCAGCCTCCCACCCTAGTATGTATCCTGCCACATGTGACTCACACACACACCCGGGGGCTCCTTCGTGGTGTTTGCCGACAGCTTTATTGAGGTCTCATTGGCATGTCGTCGTTATCGTGAATTTAGTTGGTGGTTTTTTTGTTGTTGTTGTTTAATTTTTTTAACGTTTATTTATTTTTGAGACAGAGAGAGATAGAGCATGAACGGGGGAGGGTCAGAGAGAGGGAGACACAGAATCTGAAACAGGCTCCAGGCTCCAAGCGCTCAGCTCAGAGCCCAACGCGGGGCTCGAACTCACGGACCGTGAGATCATGACCTGAGCCGAAGCCGGCCGCTCAACCGACTGAGCCACCCAGGCGCCCCAAATTTAGTTGTTTTTAAGATAGAATCTTCCACGTGCTCTTCTGCGTCTTGTTTTTCACACATATCCGTGGTCTGAGAACATCACTGCAGGTCAGCGAAGGCATTCTTTTTTTTTTTTTTTTTTTTTAATGTTTATTTATTTTTGACAGAGAGAGTGTGAGCAGGGGAGCAGCAGAGAGAGAGGGAGACAAAGAATCGGAAGGCTGCCTTCCCCAGGAAGCCCTCCATGGCAAATTCCTCGGGTCTCCTTACGTGTTCTCATGCAGACAGACAGAGGAGGGTGCTTTTTTCTTTATTTTTAAATCACTGCTGGAGCACCTGGGTGGCTCAGTCAGTTAAGCCTCTGACTCCTGATTTCGGCTCAGGTCATGATCTCGCGGTCCGTGGGATCGAGCCCCGTGTCGGGCTGTGCGCTGACAATGCGGAGCCTGCTTGGGATTCTCTCTCTGTCTTTCTCTCTCTCTGTCCCTCTTGCATGCCCCTCCCCTTCAAAAAAAATAAACAAACTTTAAAAAAATAAATCCATGCCAATGGCCTACCACGCAGTTTTAGACCTCGGCTTTTTCACTTAACGGTATATCTCAGGAATGTTTCCATTTTGGTACACTTTTTTTTTTTTTTTTTTCAAGTGCTAATGTGTTCACATCATTCCAAAAACAGTAATAGCACTCCAGTGGCAAGTTTCCATCTAGCTTGTCCCCAGTCCACCTAGG